TGCCTTTTAATATACTTAACTTATCTTATATTTATTTTATTGACCCATTGATTTAAAAGCCTTCAACGAAAACATACAATTAATAATCCAGCTTAAAGTATATAAATACAAAACTCAAACACCCAAAGTTACCAAATAATTATTTGTTAAATGTTTAATGTCTTACTTTTTGTCAACTTATTAATAATATCCAAATAAGTTGACAAAAATTGAGACATTAAACATCTAACAGAAATTCGTCTTTTGTACATACATACATACACACATACATTATTCAGTGTAGTACACGTGCCACCCCGCTAGGATCGCGGCGATCGCTGTTTCCCTCTCTAAATATGGAGTTGACATTTCTCTTTATATATGTTCTGTGGTCGACTACTTGCTGTTGTCGAGTGAACGCCTCGTGTTTCAGTAAATCGTCGTGTATTAGTAAATTGTGCGTGTTTCTTTGAGTGATTTTTCAGTCGACGAATAATTAATCGACACGGATTAGTAATAATTAAGTAATAAATTCGATATTAAAATCAGTCGACTGCTTGCTATCGTCGAGTGAATGGGTCGTGTGTTTCTTTCTTCGTGTGATTTTTCAGTGGACAGATAATTAATCGACAGTGATTGTAAAGTACGTAACGGATATTAATTAGTAGCTACATTAATAGATTTCTTGTGATTTCTTCAAATGAATAGTATGTATGTGAATCGAGTGTAAAATGTTGAAGTTACACGGTTTGTAAAAAAAAGAATTAACTAATTAATTATTTAATCTGTGTCAGTCAGTGGATAACTTGTGACGTTTACATTAAAACTATCGAAAATTTAATAAAATAAACACTCATTACGTGGAAATCACATCGAAATGAGAATTCATCTATCTTTTTCGAGAAGTTACAAAAGTCGACAAATCTTTAAAAGGTAAGGTTTTGTGCGTGTACGTGCATGCATGCGTGCGTGCGTGCGTGCGTGTGTGCGCGTGCGTGCGTGCGTGCGTGCGTGTGTGCGTGTGCGTGCGTGTGTGTGTGTGTGTGTGTGTGTGTGTGTGTGTGTGTGTGTGTGTGTGTGTGTGTGTG